TGGCAAAGACTTAAAACGCGTAATCTTTCCTAACGTTTTTAGGATTGTAAATGACCAGTTTTTGATGTTGTATGAATGATAAAGAGAGGCTCAATCACTGGGTTCTTGAACGCAAAATTGGATTTTAGCTTTGAGGGTACAAATAGTTCCAGTGGGGTTGATTACGCTCTTAATAGGTAAGTAAATAGAAATTATTTTTCCTTTTCCATTTCTCCATAATATTGGAATTCAATTTTGAAACTTTACATGATGCTAGTGTTGCGTTCGTCGTAAAAACTCTAACTATCAAGAAACTTTGTTTTTTTTTATGTGACGGCCATCCATCTCGTGGCACTTTAGTCTATAAATTTCTTTATAATTAGTCTAATTGGCATTATATAACATGATAAATGGTGGTTCAACATGCTTGAATTGGCTTTCTCCACCTCTCAAACAACATCCGCGCCTAAGGGTATATGACGTTTCGTGGCATTTGACAATGCTTTGAATCTGGAGAACATGTATGATCATTTGGGGTTAAGACCAAGGCAAGTAAAGTGGCTTCTGATGGATTTTTTTAGAATGACAGTGTATTTAAATTTTAGGAGAAAAATGGGTGCAATGAATGAATCAAAATCCCATCCATTTAAAGGGCATAAAAATGCTTGATATATGAGAAAAGAGTTGGACCAAAATATGCAAGAATGTCTTTTTAACTATAATGAATGGAGGCTTCAATACGAAGTCTATTGATAGTATGGTTTACGATGGACGTATTTTTTAGGATTACATCGAGGATTAAAGTTAAAGGTCAGAGCTAATTATTGGACCAAATCGGGCCAAAGAAGACAAGATGCTGCACAAATATAGGTTTTGAGTCCATTACATGTATGTCTAGGTTGGGCCCAAAATGGTTAGAATGCAAATACTAAAGACTAGCTAAGATCAATCCTTGAGTTAAAATTGGTCATCTTTCGCTCGCACATGTGAGGCCCTAACGAGGCGCAAGGGTGACAATGAACTCTGGTTGCAACTTGATCAACAATACACTGGATATCAACAATCAAAGTGGTTCAACAGATTGGTACCTAGTCCCTTCAAGTAAGAATCATGTCAGATTGCCAAAACAATGTTTTTCTTATGGCGCTCATTTGGGTGATCAAAAATAGGACCTAATGCATTGTTTTCACTACCAACCTGAACAATCAAAAGCTAATTTTATTCACATTTGTTTCCTTTTGAGATGAATAATTCCTAAATAATCTTCGTTAATATTAATCGTCATGGATCAGACCCGGTAACCTTGTGTTGAACGAGGCGGGAACGGATGTTGGACCGAAAAATTTGAACATTTCAATTAACATGATAGAGTATTTATCCACAAATTTAAAATAAGAAAGAGGTCACTCATTTCCAAAGCAATATTTTCTTTCATAGATACAAACAATGTAATAAAGTCTGTTTACAAAATATATGTCCTCTATCCATATCATCCTATGAGAGTCCAATCTATTTACAAAACATCAAACTCACAAAAAGAAACTTTGTCACGTTCCCTACGGATGTAGGTGGAATGATTGTCTGTCAGATTCCATTACTGATTAGCAAGTTTTTCCTGAAAACATCCAAAACTAGGGAAATGAGCTGGACGCTCAGCGGTATCTTGTAACTCTACTAATTTCAAATTATAATGCAAGAAGATCAATATGCAATGCTTTTAAATAATGAAATCTAAATCCAATTGCTACTAAATGATACAACGTATGTGTCACGACCCGGCCCGGTTAGCTCGCAAGTGCGAGGCGGGAACAGAGATCGGACATAAAGAAGATAAAAGAAACATTACAAGACAATTAATATAACTCCAAAATGAAACATCAATATGAAGAAAGAGCCACTACAATCCTAACATAAAATTTTCTCTTTTCTTTCATTCAAAAATCACCAATCAAGGGATTTAACATTAAAGTACAAAAGTATACAAAAGAGGATCTACAAGTATAATCTTTCCTTTGCATTCTAAGTTTCTAATCCTCCTATACAAAACATCAAAATACAAAAGAACCTGCGCGCCGTCGTCCTCCTACGACGGTACATATATAGGAATTAGAGGGGAACCAAACAGCCCAAGATTTCCCATAAATGGAGTGATAAAAAGCCATCAATTTCCTGTACAGAAATTCCAAACAGCATAGCAAGTCTCAAGGAAAAAGGTCACGGTTCCAGCACAGGGAAACCAAACGGCACACAAGGATTCAAGGCCACGGCTCTCAGCACAGGGAAAACCAACCGGCACATCAAGTCTCAAGAAAAGGCCACGGTTCACAGCAGGTATAGAAATCCCAAACGTCACAGTAAAGCACAAGGAAAGCCACGGAATCAGCAGGTAAGCACAGGAATCCAGGAGGTATTTCACGGGTCAGCAGCTACACATTTCACGGGAGAAAAGGAGGGAAAGCTGCAGCAGTTCAAGAGGCAATCAAGAAGAGGAAGAGGCAAGTTTCACTCACCTAAAAGCTTGCACACCTCAATAAATTTAGAACTAAACATCAGCTCATAATGAGCTACACCTCCACTTGTAATTAATGAGCTGGCACCACTAGAATTTCAACAGCTAAAGCTCAAACCGAAAACAGCCAAGGCCCTCTTGAAACCAAAAAACAACCCAAAGGACAAGGTGGACCCCAAAGCCAGCAAACCCAAGGCAAGCATAACCCAAACCTTTTCCTACCATGATCATTGGATTTACCACCATCATTGGATAGCATAAAAATAAAACAAAAATAGAAAATACAACTAATATTGTTCAAAACAAAAATAATGCAAAAATCTAAATGCATCAATTTATTATTTTTAAAATTATACTCCATGTATTTGATTTTAGATCTACTCAATTGAAAACCTTTAGACTCTAAGGTTGACCTCTATAATTTAAGTTTTCTTTCAACTCTCTAGTCTTATTAACAAAAATAATATCATTAGCCAAAAGTATACATCAGGGTACATCCTCTTGCAAATGTTTGGTAAGAACATCATTGACTAAAGCAAAAAGATACGAGCTTAAAATTTATCCTTAATGTAATTGATGTAGAACGGAGGGGGGGGGGGAATTAAAAAAAAATGAAATTCAATTTCAGATTTACCTTAATTAAGGGATTTGAATTTGAAATTCAAATAAGATGGAGGGAAGGATAAATAGGTGATTAATTATTCCCCTAATTGGATTCCTTGATAAGGAAGAAAATAATTAAAATAAGAGAGAGATGGGGTCGACCATATGAGGAGGGAGGAGACATGTTCACATACAATGTTTGTGGACCATAGCATTAAATGTGATGGGGTAATTAAATATGAAATTAATTTCAGATTTGAGAGATTTGAGGGGTTTCCTCAATGAGAGTTGGTTTAATTAGAAAGCTTTTGGAATTCAAATTATTTTGAATTTGAATTCAAATTCTTTCCAAATAATAAGAGACTAAATAAGAAAATAACTAATGGGGATTTAATTTGGGATCTAATGAGAAGTGAGAGGGAGGTCGGCGGTTAAGGAAGGATATAATGAGTGTAATTAATGGGGAGAGGGGAATTGGGAGGGAATTTAAAACTTCCTAAATCATGATTCTAAATTAGGAAAAGGTTAATTAAATCAAATCTAATTTAAAATCAAATTAGATTTAAATTTAGGAACTTTTCTAATTTAGCTTAGTTAATTTTAGGAAAGTATTTGAATTTCAAATTGGAATTTCAAATATATTTAATTCTTACCCCAAATTAGGTAGGCTAATTTTGGTAGGTATTAATGATGATTGAAATCATCATTAAGAGGAAAAAAGGGGTGGGGTGGTCGGCGGCTAGGAGGATGGGAGGAGATGGGGTGGCCTACTAAGAGGTGGTGGTGGAGTGGTTTATGGCCGGTGGTTGATTTGGATAAATTGGAGGCTTGTGGTTTTGGAGGGGTTTGTGGGAGAATCGGCCGGTGGCAAGTGGGGGATTTTGTTAGACGGTCAAGGGAGGAGGAGAAAATGATTTAGGGAAAGAAAGGTACAACCGTGAGCCCGAACCCATCTTGCAGCTGACGGGTAATACGTTGCCCTTCTCCAAGGGACTTCAAGCCACGAGCCCAGACCCATCATACGGCTGGTGGAATCTCCGATTCCCTCCTATAGGAATCTCACCCAAGTTCTCTCCAAAGAATACAAGTGTAAACAAAATTTCTTTTCTTAATAATTCATCATTACATTACACAAGTAAGGGCTTCTATATATAGGCCTAAGAAACTAAAACAAGACACATATGCCCCTACGGCTTACATAGGACGACCCTCTTAAAGTCTTAAGTAAGGGAAAAAGGGAAAATTCATAATAAAAATAAAAATTATGAATAACAAATTAACATAAGGTGGAATGATCTTGGCCGTTGATCGTCGTCTCCTCCTTTAAAAATCTTCATGATCGGATTTTGCCCGATCTTTTTCTCCTATGTGATTCCTGCACTCAGCATTTTTCGGGTACTCTAATACATGAACTTATTGTACTGTATTTTATTAGAACATATATATTTTTTTGAGAAAATGATCAAAATGGTCCATTGACTCTTTACTAAAGATCAAAATGGTCTTTTAATTAAAAGACCTTTTTTGTCCCTCAATTCTTTAAAGATGAATCTAAATAGTCCAACTATGGGACTGTTTTGGTTCTTTTTTAAGGATTTGAGGGATCAAAATAGTTCTTTAATATAGTTGAGGATCATTTTTTGTTACTCATAAAGAGTTAAGGACCATTTTGGTCCTTTTCCCATATTTTTTTTCAATTTGACTTTGGACAATCACTGCATGCTATATTTTTTCTACTTTTTCGCATGAACTATTTTTTTCCGAATAGTTTGCTTATGTTCATCATAAGTTTGGCACAATACTCTTTAGCCATACACATTTCTTTGTTTTCTAAATATCTTGCACTAAAATTTGAAATCAAAATTCTCTCTTCCCTTTAACCATGTAATAGTGGAGTCTCATACTACAGGATGCCAAAGGCTATATTTGAAGTATCGAAGAAGATGCTAACTGAATTTAGTTGGAAACCTACTGCTGCAACTGTGGAAATGGAAGCAGGATGGCTGCTCTTGGCATCCCTTGTTTCTTCTATGCCCAAAGAGGTATCCATTATATTTTCTAGGGACTTATCTTTACATGGAAATTGTTAGCATCTTTTAGGATGTGATCAACTTTTCACACGATGTACAGGAACTTGAAGACCAAGTTTTTGATGTTCTTTTGCTGTGGGCTGACCCTTTTGTAGGAGGATCTGATAGCAGAACCCGAAAATCACAAGATTTGATGTCCGATTTATGGTGAGATTGGCTCTTGGATACTGTGGTATCTCTTTCTATTTTCCCTATTTGATAATTAACTAAGATTGGTTTTGTGTCTGATTTTTTGATTGCTTTAATTTTTTATCTTTTTGTATCTTCGAGGCTTTACCACAGAAGACTCTTCTTCATCATTTGAACATTCTGCTAAGTTAGTTTATCCAGGGTTATGAATCCGTATTTTTCTAAAATATTTTGGAAGACTTCGTTATATTGTTGCTTCTTTATAAACAAAAGAAGGGAATTAGTTCCATTTAAAAAGTATTCAATTTAACTGGTGTACGTGTTCCTTCTTCGTAGATTCATCTTTCTTTGTGTTGAGTTTAAAATGATTTCTGGTTTTTTCTTTTCCTTTTTCATGCATTTATGTTACTATAACTCAGATTAAAAGGTTATTTATGTTAAGATTTTGGTCGTCGAATTTATTTAAAAACTCTCAAGTGACGTGAATACAAACATTGGTAGCATATGCTTTCTCTAAGCAAATTCTAGCAATCTTCTCAGTTTTTATCACCACCGTATATTTTTTTCTTCTCTTTGGCTAGTTTTCTTTCTACCTATTGCTTAAGCTTTTTGAAATATGCCGTTGTCCACATTTATTAATTGGATTGCTCAAGTTCATTTTCTTTGTTATTAAGTTGTATTTTTATTTCTTGGTTATTTTTTTGGCTTTTTTTTGTTTCTTTTGTTTTGATACTTTAGCTTATTTTTTGAACTTTCAGGGTCTTATCTGCTGCAATTGAGGCACTTGATGCATTTATTAGAAGTTTTGTTTCCTCCACTACGACAGTTGGCGGTGATTGGATTTTGCTTCAGCCTGTGTTAGCATACCTTGGCGGGTATTTTATCTCTTGCGAATTCTGATAATTGTTTTACATTTAAGCTTTATTTCCTAATTTCTTTTTTAGTTAAATGACTTTCATAGATGCTAAAGTTTCTTATATATCGATAAGCAGAGCTCTGTCCCACCTATCATCCTTAGCAGCCAAAGATTTACCAAATTTGAGGCCCGTGGTAGATCTATTCACCATCAGAATACTAAAGGCTTATCAATCTGTTTCCGACCCAATGGCGTTTAAGAGTGAGCATCCTCAGATTTTACAAATATGCACAACTCCGTTCAGGTAAAGGCTTTATAGTCTTTTAATATGGACATTATGTATCATGTAAAAATATATAAAGCTTGACTGCTTTATCTAAGGTAATTTTATTTCTTACATTTTCTGATTGTGTTTACTGATTACACTTTGGCTGTTTGCTTAACGGACAGTGATCCTTCCGTATGTGAAGAAAGCTCATGCTTGAAGTTCTTATTAGACAAACGAGATGCATGTTTGGGTCCTTGGATCCCGGGAAGGTAAGCTCTTCTAATTCTACCGAATTCAATTTCATTTTCCTGATAACTAGGTGAGCCTGATAACTTCAATTGTATTCACCATCTCCCCACCTATCATTTCGGAATTTGATGTACTATTTTTTATAAGCCTCACAGGCTCTTTTGGACATTATTCAGGGATAGTTTTGAAGATGAACTTCGATCTTTTGATGGCTGTAAGGATGGCCTTTTGCCATGCGTGTGGGAAGAGGAACTTGCTAGTTTTCCACAGGTAGTGTATGTAGTTCGGAAACTTGCGACATTTTTGCCATCTAATCCCTTTTTATTATCTTTCAACTATTATTAAGTGCATCTTGCATTTATCTGCAGAAATGCAATTCAGAAATCAATGAACATGTTGCCATTCTAATAATGATATTTTCTTTGTTTCAATGGTTGATATATATACTTCGACTTTATAATATTTTGAAATTTTCTTTCAAAAATTTTTGTATCCTTTAAAATCATTTCTTTACCAGTTTTTATGCTTTTTGTATCTTCTAACGTTCAAATTTTAATCCCTTAATTCCAAGTTGGCGATTGCTGTGTATTCTTAATCTGGGTTATGATCTGCTGATGAAACCTACGTTATGGGCTGGACTAGAATTGAAAGAAATTGCTTCATCCCATGCATGCAGCAATTGCTCCTTTAATTAACTACTAAACTGCTTCTACTTTATTGTTATTAAAGTGGCGTCGTATCAGCTATCAAGCTGCACTATAATTACGTGATGTCTTTTAACTGCTGAAATATATTGTTAAGTTATGGATCTAAGAAGAGTTAGTTGGGGATGTGGTTCTAAAGTGGAGGATGAGAAGAATTTTTTTGCAATTTACATTTTTTTTCTGTTGATCTGAAATCACTCAATTTTCTTGGCCTTTCCAGTCATGACGTTATTTTTACCTACATTCTTTGTCTCGTCTGTTGTTTCTTAGTAATAAAATATTTGATTGATTGAATTTCCTTTTACTAATGCGTACAATTTATATTATTTATTGAAGCCATATTCCATAAGCAAATTGTTGGTCAATCAGATGCTCTTGTGCCTTGGTATTATCTTTTCTAGTCAGGTGTGTGCTAAGTTTTGACAAATTTATAGTCATTCTATGGTGAAATTTCTAGATGAATCTTTGACATCTTTAAACGTGTTTCTAGGATGATGGTGGAAAGGCCTTGCTTCTCGCAAAAATTGACTATTGCCTGAAGACTGGAAAGAAGCAGTTTTGGTATTTGACCACTATTAATAATGCATGTGTTGCCCTCCTGGCTGCTTTGAAGGTATTAAATTATCTATCTGCTGAATTGTTTGATCAATATAACTCTTACAAGTCTGTCTCCTTCCATAACTTTGGGTTATTTTTTAGGCAATGCTCGGTGCACGAGTTCAAAGTAGTGGGCTTGAGATTTTAAGTTCCATTCAATCAATCTTTTTGGTATATTTTCTTCTGTATTTTGCATTCTATTCTCCATTTCTCTCCTTATCCACCTGTATGGACACATTCCTAAGTACTTAAATACGAATTAAACTCTTCAATACGAACATACGAACCTACTCATACATAGCATCTATAACATAACTGTAAGAGCTTAAATCTCAATGTAGGTATTGCATCCTTAAAGCACAAAAGGTGATGTAAATTCTCAAACAACAGTAAGAGCTGAAATCTCATAGAATTGGAGCTAGAGGTAGAAGTTTTTTTTTTTTTTTTTCAGTTCATTTGAATTACATGATACTATTCAGTATTTATAATTATAGGCCCTATTCAAAATAACAAAGACTGCCCTTGAAGAAATAAGAAAACACTAAACTAATCTTAAAAATCATAGATGATATATTAAACTCCAAATATGAACTTAGTAGCTTAGAACAACATAAACGTAAGGTGACATAAACAAGGAAAAAAACAGAATACATGATACTATGCATGACAACCATGAGTAAGCATCCGATGTGCATTCAAAGGTCCGCGGTGCAAAGGTCACCATTTTGTTCTTATGCAATATAAACAGTCCTTGTTGAAAACATTTAGTTCACATAGTGCATGATTGAATGATCACAAAGATGCATGTAAACTTGTATCACTCCAGCTTACATGATGCTTGGTCTTGATTTTTTTCCCAAGGCCATAAGCCTTGAAAATTAAATAAAAGAACCTTGGTATCCCAAAAGAAGCGTATTTCATCCATAAACAGAAGTATATGGATGTCCATACAGGCATTCATTCAAATACAATGATGATATAAGAGTGTATTTATTTGTTTGCATTTGTCTCTATTTATATATAATATGTGTTTTGATGCTAATCATGGTTGGTTTCTGTTTCTTATCTCTTTGTCTCTGAAAAGGACATTTTGGCAGAAGGTGAGATCACTTCAGCCCAGCGGAGAGCATGTGCAGAAGGACTTGGCCTGTTAGCTCGCCTTGGGGGTGACATCTTCACAGCTAGGATGGTATGTTCACATACATTTTTGTAGTGCCATAGTTCTCATTGTTTCTTAATTAATATTAGTGCACTTTTAACAAGGAATTTCTGAAGATTTGGTACCAAGTTTGCATGCTTTTGCAGTGTCAGAATTCTGGTTTTTAGTTTTATCATGTCTATAAAGTGATTATCTATCAGTTATTTGAACCTCTTCTAATTTCTCTTGTGCACTAATCTACCTAATATAACTGTAACATGTTGGGTATTATTCAAGATGATTTTGGCATTAATCAGGTTCTTTAACGCTGCATCTAAGTTTAGGCATTTATTTATGTTCATTAGGCAAAGAGTCTACTTGGGGAACTAGTATCACCACCAACCGATTCAAACTATATTGGTTCTATAGCATTGTCATTGGGTTGCATCTATCGCAGGTAATTTATTGATGCATTGATCTACGCTTTCTCATTCTTTTTAATTCATTTCTTTACTTGTTAAACGTCTTTCAAACCTTAGGACTTGTTCATTACTGTTCTTTTTATTGACTTCCTAAGATTAAGAATTTGGATTCTTTTGAGCATATCTTTCATCTAGTTGATTGTTAGATCTAAAAGCAACTCTCTGCGGCTTGTTATGTTCACCTGCATATGTGCTTCATAATCAATTCGAGCACATTTGGCAAAAACGATGATCAATTGATGCAATGTTGTGTGAAATACATTCGAAATGCCTAGATGTTGTGTGAAATCACCTGAACTCCATTTGCTTGTGAAACTGGTTGCATTAATATGTTCGAAGCATTGAAATTATCAAAGAAACAACCTCTACACTTAACTTGACCAAGCAACTGCAAAAAATGACGGTCTACAAATACGACTGTGCAAAATCACCTCAATGTTCTTCGTTTATGAAATACACTGTGCCATTGCTTTCGAGACATTGAAATTAGTAAGAAAGGCCCTCTTGACTGTGCAAAATGATGGACTATAAGCATGAAGTTGCACGAAATTGCTCGAACATCTTCAGTTCGCAAAAATGGATTGTACTTTTACATTCAGGATGTCAAAATTACTAGAAAAGCACATCCAGATTGCCTATGTTCCCGCATGAGATAAACGACAGAGAAATCCACCCATATGCTTGCAACTAGGATGAATTCAACCCTCGCTAATGGCAAAAATTTAGCGAATGAGTCATTACCCATTTAAATCAAGTATCTATTTTTTATTTTTATTATTAATATTTTTACATTTAAATTATTAAAAAGAAGTTAAAAGTAAAATCTTAGGGTATAAAGTGCTCTGTCCTTTTGCTGCGGCAAATGGATAATGCTGTCCTTTTTCATTTTAAAAAATGTTGAGCAAAATAATAAAAACTTAAATAAGCTATACCTAAACTCATTCCCTCTCATTTTTCACTCTCAGCTGCCCCCTAAAATTCTTATTCTTTCATACCTCTCTTGCCTTGGACTGAACCTAATGAGCTTTCACGCTCCCTCGTGCACCTCTCTGTCCTGTCTCCCTACTTTACCCAACTAACTACATTCGATTGCTTACCTCCATCGTCATGAACCTGACCGTCATCTCTTTCCTATGCCGCCTGTCACCTATCTTCTTTCCTGCTCGGTCATGACAGGTCTAGCTGACAACCCCTGCTGATGTAGACGAAGGGGGGGGGGTCAACACTAGTCCAAAATAAATCATATTTTGGCTTCCCTTGAGTCTAGTAGTTCATCATGTTTGAGCTAAACTTTTAGTTCATTTATGAGCTGGACTTTAGTTCATTTATTGAACTAAGGGTTAGCTTATTATGAGCTAGCATTTTAGTTCATTTATTATCCTATATTAAATGTACTTTTTATGCTTTTTATGTTTGTATTAATGTTTGTCTACATCAGCAGGGGTTGTCAGCATATTTGATTTAATTAAATGTTCAAAGGAGGATTTATGTTATTTCCAAAGGAGTCACTTGAGTTTTGGAAATAATTCCAAAGGGGATCTTGATGGGACCGGCGACATGCATGGGCAAGGGAGGAATTTAATGCAAGCAGTTGAGGTTTCTTAATTTAGGATTTGATTTGAAATCCAATTATATTTGAATTTCAAATTAGATCCAAACAAATACTTTCCTAAAATAGATGAATTATTTTATGAAAGATTTTGAATTCAAATTCAAAGGGAATTGAAATTCAAAATTATTCCAAATTATTTCACATACAATTAGGAAACTCAAGAGGGCAAAGGGGCAATGGGGGGAAGAGATGGAAGGTGCCGGCCGGCGGCTAGGGGATTGGGGCCGACGGCCTTGGGGCTCGGGTAGTGGATTGGGCCGTGGGTTTTGAGTGGCGATGAGGGGCTTGGGTGAGGAAAAGGGTTGGCCGGCGGTGGAGGGAAGGGGAAGGGAGGGAAAGGGGATAAGAACCAAGAGCCACCGGTGGTGACTGTTGGGTGCGATGGGTGGCCTATCCTAGGCTCCACCAAGCTCTCTAACTCTCTCTCTCAAGCTCTCACATAAGCTTCAAGAACACAAGTGCAGGAAAATTTTCATAATCATTCGTTGCCTTCAAACATATGAGGCTATAAATAGCCAAGTACAAAGGACTCAAGGAAATAAAAGACAAATTTGTCTTCCGGGCTTACATACGACAATTCCCACTAAAAGGGTACAACTGGAAAAATAATAAAAACAAATACATGACACAAAAGAAATAGAATATACATGGATAAAATAAATAACTCAGAAATATAAAGACTCGATCGTGGCCGTAGATTGGCGGCCACGCCTCTGATAAACCTTCCACGAGCTGATGTCCCCATCACCGGCCGCTATTAGGGAATTTAGGAGGGGATTAATTGTTGCTTAGGTGGCAAAGTGGAGAGAGAGAGGGAGGGGGCCGACCTTATGGGGGGTTTTAAATTGTGTCTAGGTTCAATGTAAGTGAGGCCCAAGTGATTGAACATTTAATTAAATCAATTATATTTCATTCTGCCTCGCCTCGCTTAGACAAAATGCCTCGATTTCCGATTTTTCCTTTTAAAACATTAAAAAATATTATGAACTTCTCCAAGCCTCTGAGGAAGAGCCAATTTATATGAATCATGACAACTCACTTTATTATTTCAAAAGTTCCAATGAAATGAGGTTAAAGCTTTCCACTCTTGCCAAATGTTTTAACCCCACAAATGTATGAAATTAAAAAAAAAAAAACACATGTTCTCCATGTCAACTTCATTATCTCTATGCTTAGGGTCAAAAAATATTTTTTTTTGTTCCTGAGCTGAACAATGTCATTCTCGAATCTGTTGAATCTTCTCAATAGCTTAATTAACCAATTATGCTCTTAGGAGTTCTCTCACTCACCTCAAATTAGTATGGAAGAGATTTACATTTCCTATCATAAAGGGCAAGTGTCATGTCGATGCTAGCTTGGAAACTATTGTTATAGTCAATTTGGGTCGAGAGGTTTTGAGCCTAGTTATGTCTCTTACATACTACTTCCGTTAAAAAACAACCGTGGGTACTTCGCAATCATCTTTTCTTTAATTTCCCATGTTACTTCATTCTAACTTGTTTATGGCACACAAAATATGTGCAGGTTTATCATGATGGGTGGTGGTAGGCTTATGACACAAAATACAAGTCATGAAGAAGGCATAAAGGAATGATGGATGGTGGGAAGGACTAAAAAGGCCTTAAGCTATAACAACATTAGCAGAAGAGGGGGGAGCAACAGGCCTTAGAGGTTGAACACCAACATAAGAAGATATCCTATATGAGGAATCAAGAACAACCTTTAGACCATCCAGAGATGCCCTAACATGCGAGAATGTTCACATAAGCTCTAGAAATTATGGCATACTGTTAGCCTAGAGATGATGTCAATAAAGGAGTAAAGTTGGCATGAGAAAGCTCTAGTCCAGAAAAAGGACATGAAGGAAACCTTGGCATGATCTGTAGATAAAGGAAGTGATCTAGCTCAATGACAAGCATGAGAAGAACAAAAACAAAAATCCACTTGCTGTAAGGGTTGAGCTGCCAGAATAGAGGCCTTTAGGCCCAAACTAGGATGGGATGCTAAGCCAAGAGGTGTCGATGCTAAAAAGTAGACCGCACATTGCAGGCAAGCTTGCACTAGTGACTCAAAGTACACGTGCCAGTGAAGACCAGATGCACGAGTAAGACTGAATGTTGGAATTAGTGCTCTTGATGCAGGACTAAATGCTTAAATGGATGAAATAAGAATTTGCACGATTTATTGTTAAGAGCAATTAAAATTAAGACTATTACCAAAGTCAAACGAACAAATAAAACATAAGAGTGGTCACTTCTGTTTAGGCTAAGTTGTCACTAAGCACTTGGGCTACCAAAACAACATAGGAAATCAAGTCATGCCAATAGAATAGTTTTCAACAAAAATCCCTAATCTAACAATAAGATTAGAAACAAATAAAAGTGCACTCAACCTTACATCTACTAAGCTTAGGCAAAGGTGAAGCACAGCTCCTTGTGATTCGTCATCACCTACAAAATTAGGGGATTAGGAAAATAATTGAAAAGTGGGGAGGAGTTCACCTTAGTCAAAGTTAAGAAACAAATCGCCTGGATGTTGAAGAAGTTTGTCATAGAAGAAGTCATATTTTATTTCCAGATCGAATTCAGTTGTCGGATTCGCCATTCATGAGTACTTGATGATCAACTCTTCACACTTGATGGAACACTTGTGAAAACAATCAAAGAGAAAGAAATTTCTCTTAAGACTTGAGAGAATAGTGGACCAAAACCCCAAAATCTGAAAACAATTCCAGTTATTTTTTTTTCCAATATCTGATGAGAAGATTCGGACTCTTAGGCATAGGAATTAGAGACTTGGGGAGTAACCTGAGGTTCCAAATCAGCTTTTGTAGGGATAGGAAAGAAAAGCTGGCAGGAGAGAATTGAGGCGGTGGAAGGGTTGGTGAGCCGACGGGATATTGAGTTAGGAAAGTTTTATTGTTTCCTAAACCAAGGCTGTGATTTAGGAATAGAATTAGGGAATATTGCTTAGGTAAGATTCGGCCAGAGATTTAGGCGTTTTGAGAAATATTTTTTCATTGGCAAGTGATTGGAGTTAAAGTGAGGAGGAAGGGGAGGAGGAAGGGGAAGGCAGGGTGGAGAGGAAAGGATAGGGATGGAAGAAAGATGAGGGAGGGGAGGGGAGGAGGAAGGAAAAATTAGATGGGGAGAGGGTGGGGAAGAAACTTTAAAATGGTCCCCATAGGGAGCCGGCGGGATTTCTGATCAAGGGAGATTAATGAGGGCTAATAAAAGTTTATTAACTCAGGTTTAATATTTAAGGAAGGTTTAATTAAAATCCACATTGAATTTTGAATTTCAAATTAGATTAAAATTAGAAGCTTTCCTAAAAATATATGAGTTATTTTAGGCAGGATTTTGAAATTCTAATTCAAAGAATTGAAATTCAAAATTATCCCAAATCTTCTCACACCCAAGTAGGAAATTCATGAGGGGAGATGGCTTGAATGTGGCCGGCGGCTAAAATCTATGGCCGGCGGTTTGGAAAGGCCGGGTGGGGGCTTGGGTCGTGAGGTTGAGGGAGGAGAGGGTCGGGTGATGTGGCCGGTGGCTTGTGGTGGAGGAGGCGGGGAGAGTTCGATTGGGAGGAGATGATGGCTTGGAGATGGAGAAGGGTTTGGGTGTAAATGATGTACGTGTGGTGGTGGTGGAAGGAGGAAAGACAAAAGATAAAGAAAGACCATGAACCCGGCCGTCTCCAAGGTTGGTGGGTGATCCGATCTCCCTCTCTTAGGGATTTCTCCAAAGTTCTCTCCAAGAACTCTCAAACACTCTCAACACACAAGGACAAGAAATATCTCATAATAATCATTCATTCCTTAATTCATGAAGAGCAACATGAGGGCTATAAATAGCCTCTTACAAAAGGACTCAAAATAAGAAGATGACAATGCCCTTAGGGCTTACATACGACCTCCTTTAAGTAAAGGGGTAAGACGGGAAAATAATTAAAACATAAATAATAAACGACAAATAACATAATAAACGACAAATACATGAAAATGACTAAAACAAAATACAACGACTTGATCGTGGCCGTAGATCGACGGCCACGCCTTGATTCATGCTCTGATGTCCCCATCAGCTCTCCTATGTGAAAACTGTAGCGCGCAATTGAGAAGCGACTTCTAGGATTGCGTGAGGGTGCAAATCATGTTATTAATGGTTAAAAGTCAGATGGATGATGATGAAGGCACAATTAGGTTGTGTTAAGTTGTTGTTAGATCAGGGAAGAATTATACTTATTAATTATGAATCCTTTTATAGATGGTTTGCATTCTTAAAAGGCTTTAATTATATATACTTACGAGCTTTATTTAATTTCTGTTGTGGTATAAAATTTTATTACATGAGGAAATAATAAATTTGTAGTATTATGGAGAATGATTCACCAATATATTTTTCTCATTTATTTAGAGTTGAAAGTTTTATAACTTTAACTTGTTTGTTATCTTATAAGAATGAGATGAACTGTTTTCAAATCCAGTTATACTTGTGTGAAACTGAACAACTAAATTTGTAGGCTTTATCATACCTTGCAAATAAAATATGCTTATCTAGTAGATCATATCATTAGTTGGACATTTTGATACCTCTCTCTCTCTCTCTCTCTCTCTCTGATTTTGCAAGCCAAATCTTGTTTCATTCTCTTTCGTGGATAAATGTGGGCAACCTTGCAAGTCAGCTAAATCCATTTTCCCAGCCCAACATGATTTTTGCTGTTGATGTTTGTTTCATGTCAGTTGATTGAATTGCAAGAAGACACCTTGACAAATAATCAGAGAATTAAATTTTACAATAATGGTGAATTTTTTTGTGCATGCTTGCATTTATTTTTGCAGTAGTTTGATATTTGTTAATTTTGTGTTTATTTTTCTTAATTTTATGTGTTTATTTTTCTTTGCCAACCATTTAATGTCAATATCATATTTAGCTATTTTCTGTAATTCTCCTGTTGAAATGCGATGTGTTATCTAGTTTTGGTGTTGGGCATGCAGTGTAGGAGGAATGGCTCTATCTTCTTTGGTGCCAGCAACAGTGAACTTAGTTTCTTCACTTGCTAGGAGTTCAAATGCGACTCTTCAGTTATGGTCATTACATGCACTGCTTTTAACCATTGAAGCTGCCGGTTTATCATTTGTTTCCCAAGTACAGGTACTCATTATGAAAAGCCGAAGGCATGGGATTATGTGCAGTTTATTTTGTGTAACCATGATATTCTGTTACGGAGACAGTTTTTCATTCGACAAAGGATTTTTTTTATTTGAAGGTTTTCTTATCCTTTTGTTGTTGTTCTATCTCTATAAGTTATCGTTAGCATAATTCGGCTGTTGCTTTTTCTTAAGCACATCGATGTTAAACTAATGTTTTACAAATTTTATGAACTGCATTTTTAAATCCATTATGATTGTTTTTGTTACTTGTTCGGAGCTCTTATGTAATCTACTAGTCTCATTGTTATTAAGAAAAATTAATCTTTCCGTGTTACTACATCGATCTAGTAAAAAATGCCTATTTTTTTACGCATCCCAAAATTGGAAGTTTGGTATGTTCTATGCAATGGGAAGGATACGCCTGAATTATTTGAAAAACATGTTCTTGATGTGGTGCCATGGTTCCATGAAATATCTGGTATCAATACGTGTTGATTGTTTGTACTCTGAACAATTTAGGGTGTATGTGCGAAAAAATATACCCTTTTGTTTGTGTGAGAATGTTGTGTATTGTCATCTAGTGGAGGGCTTACTTATTTCTTCAACTCCCCGTTGCGGTTGGCTATGGATATGTTACAAATTGACTGCACTAAGTTTGAATTTTTATTTCATTTATCATTTTATAATTTCGGCATACATCTTGGTCTCTGTGATATGCACACTAGCTTGCTTCAATATACCACGTCTATTTTGTTTTTACTGTTTGCCTTCTTTAATGACGGCTGGTTATTACTAAATTTGTTTTTTAAGCAGAACCAAAATGTTCGAGACAAAATTGATTATGATGATAGGTTGGAGATATGTTAGTAGGGTTAGCTGTTTTATGTTATATATATATATATACACACATACACATACATACATACATACATATTATATCTAAGAAATGCATAGTTAATCTATTTAGGTATTAATTATCCTAATGAATTATTATCTAAAATTTATTTTAAGTTATGTCTTAATCACTTACTAAATAGTAAATATATTAATTAATATATATATTTTAATAATTCAATTAATAAATCAAGAGATTAATTAATATTTAACCTATGTTGGTCTTAAATAATCATAAATAAGCATTTTTAAAACTTTATTAATTGCAACTAAAATATTCATTAATTTCTATTCAACCCAAATAATCATTACTTATTAATTATTATGATTAATTAATTATCCCATCTTGTTGACATAAATAAATCCTATGTAAACATTAATGGTCTTAATGAAAATCCTATCTAGTTAAATAGTTAACTATTGATTACTCATTTAATTATGACTCGATAATTATCTTAGACTTAGTGATAATAATTAGTATTAACGAAAAATAGAAAAAAGGTCAAAATGATCTTGGACTATTTATATCGTGCCTTTAGTTCTAGACTATAATTGTATTTAATTTAGTCTCTTGAATCCTCAAATATGATTAAAATAATCAATATGTTACATTATTTTGGATCATATTTGAGGATTCAATATTTAATTGGACGCATCAATAATATGAGACTAAAATGGCGCCCCAATAAATATTATAGGGATCATTTTGCCATTTTCTCAATAAAAATATAGTGAGCTTAATCAACACCTTAATTAATCCTTAATCTAAATACCTTACTAATTAACAATCTATTATTAATTAATTAATTTTTGCATGCATATTTATCATAACTTAAAAGCAATAAAATCTTGTGATCTTTTTTAGATTCTAATTATCCCCTAATTAATTCGAATATTTAACTGCAATCTGTGTAAATAATTAATTTATTTATGATCCTTATCTTAATTAATGTAATTAAAAATGATAAAGTAATGTTCTTAATTAAAACCAAATTAATCCAAAACTTGTCTTAATTTATAGCTAGTGAGAATAAATAATAAATTCATTATACTATACCAAAATTTTCTACATAAGCATCAATAAAAATTTTCCTTTCTTAATTATAGCAAAAAATAATATCTAATTCGCATAATTCATCTAATTAATTTATATCTAATTTTAAATATCTTGTTTTTGAAATCTTAATGCAAAAAACAGGAAGCAACATTGAATCCAAATATGCCTTAAGATTGAATATTTGACTGGTTATAATTCTGTAACACTTTTGCTAAATGCTAACATGTTGTAAGCGAGTATATCTGATTCTTACTAGTACTTGACGATGATGTATTGTCGAACCTTTCCATTCTTGATTCGCTCATGTTAAAGATTTATACCTTATATTCTATGAAATAGGAGAAAGTTATAATCTGAAACCTCTATCGTTTTCTTATGAAGGCTTTGCTGGTTAGCAATCCTAAAGTGCATACTGTAATGCCAATTGCATAATACTTTGTTCTCTTATAAAGAACTTCCTAGAAGGCATAATTAAGAAATCTTGAATTTGAATTGAGGCTGATGACATTGCTTTTATTTTTTGCTTATTATAGGGTTGGCATGCATGGTTTGTGAATGATGATGTTGCTTTGCTTTGGCTTTTAGCATGCATGGTTTGTGAATGGTGATGTTGCTTTGCTTTTGGCTTTTAGGCAACACTCCTCCTTGTTATGGAAATTCTACTAGGTGAAGAGAATGGGCTTGTGGAACTTCGACAAGAGATAGGGCGCATTGTGAATGCTGTTGTGGCTGTTCTTGGTCCTGAGCTTGCTCCTGGCAGCACTTTTTTCTCACGCTGCAAGGTTTCATTAAGTTCACATTTTATCTTGCTGCTACATGACCTTCATCTCATTTATTTCTCAATGTAATCTTTTTTTTTTTATCTTTGTTTTTAGTCTGTTATTTCAGAAATAAGCTCTTGCTCAGAGATATCAACTCTTTTTGAGTAAGATTCTTGAGTTTTTTTTTTTCCTGCTGTAAATCTGTTGGAAGATAGAGTGCTGTTAGAGGATTTTGGAACTGGATATTCTTTCATATAAATGACAGGTTTTCTCTGTAGTTGGTGGTCTGTGGACAGCTGTTTTAAGTGGTTCCCTATTGCAGGTCCGTACGATTCACACAACAACTTGTACTTTTTGCACCACAAGCTGTTTCAATTCACTCTCATGTTCAGTCTCTGCTACCAACGCTATCCTCAAGACAGGTGGCCCTATACAACGTCATTTTTCTTACAGAAAATTAAGAGAACAGTAGTTTCTTCTTTTGATTCATGCACTTCGTTTTTATTCTTCATCTTGATGCAAGCTAATACCTTTTTTCAACAGCCAAGTCTTAGGTATCTTGCTGTGTCTACTCTCCATCATCTTCTTGAAAAATATCCTGTAAGCATTTTTTTATTATTTTTGCCTGAACTCATCTTCTTTCGCTTATTTTCCTCCTTGTGACCATTTACTTGAAGTTAAATTAGTTATAAAAATCTATTTCAACAACTATGAAACATAGGAATCATATTTGATGGGTGGATATATACTAGAAAATTGCCATTAAAGGATATTCTTTTTCTCTGCAACTTAGACGCCCAATAATAACTTCTTGAGATTACTCGCATGATCATGAAAAATATGAAAATGAAAGGGTTTTATGTACCTTAATTATTTCTTCTTTCTTATGTATGATTAGTTATGTGTCTTGCTATAAGCTTTATGTATTGGTTTTAGTAGCATTTCATGTTTTTCCCTTAAGGGTTTTGTCATATGTAAGCCATTGCCGTCTTTTATTTCTTTTTTATTGTAGGAGGCTATATATATGCCTCATATGTTTCTTTTGAAGTTAATGAATGAAATATAATCAAATTTATGCACATTGAGTTCTTGTGAGAGCTTGAGAGTCTTTGGAGAGAAATCCCTTGGAGAGGGAATCAGATCACCCATCAACCTTGGAAGCGTCGGGTTCGTGCTTTTTTTCTTCCCTATTCTTTCTTCTCATCCTCCCTTTCTTCCCTTCCACCACATGGCCCAACCACCCCTTCCAACACCACCGGCCACCACCAAAACTCCCCATCGCCGGCCACCCATAAGCCCCCACCCTTTCTCCTTTGGCTTACAATCCAATCTCCCCACCTCCCAACCGACCACATCCCCCCCACACCCAAAACCCGGCGTCCCATCCAACCCTTCTTTGAGGTATATTACATTTGTTTTAACCATATATCTCTTGATATTATGTCAGGATTTATTTAAATATAGGGGTCATAACTTTTGTGCACAAATCTCCATAATTAATTACCCTTCCTGCTCATGTGAGAGCACACTCGATTGAAGAAGTCGCTTGAGCGTTATTTTTTACTTAGGCTTTGGGTCTTGGCATTGTATTTAATCGCATGTGGATTGATGCTTGGGATGGAGGTTAATGTAATCAACATAGAGATTCTGTCATTCTGGATCTACTAATGGACCTTGCTGTTAATATTAGATTGCTTTAATTCGTAACATCTAGGGAGCTTGAATAGCAACTATGGTTTGTGTCCTCTCTTAAATTTTGGGCACACTCGAGTAGCATGAGTCAAAGGTGTGCTTTTGTGGCTGACATCAACTGATTTGTTAGTTGAGTGTCAATCAAATCAGTTTTATTAAATTGCTCAGAGGTACATATCATGGCCACTTGCAGCTTAAAGGTTGCCTGCGTGCTTTAGACCCCCTTAGTCTCCCCTCTCGCTATTAATAGGACCCCCTTAGTCTCCCCTCTCGCTATTAATAGGCATTTCAATTGCCCCCCGTTTTTTCATACCCCTTTTTTTCATAAACCAGAATTTTACAGTAACTATTAATTGTATGGATACAAGATATATTTCGATAACCAATGATGAAGTTTTGTTCGATTAATCTAAAATTTATGGCTTAGGGTGTAACTTAGTATTGAATACTGATGCGAGCAAAAATTCTTGGGGAGAGGGACCCAAATTTTCGATCACAAAAGAAGACGCACTCAGCTAATTAATAAGAAGAACAAACTCTTATATTTCATAGAAAAAGACACTTACAAACTTTTGACTCAATCGACTCAAGACACCTTACAACTCTTACAAACGACACAAACACAAATTAAAACCTAAACCTGCTTTCCAAGAGACGAAGGATACAATCGAGTGGATACTTGCGGAGAGACGAAAGAGATTAGAAGCCGAGAAGAAGGGTGGAAATAACTTGCAAGTCTCCCCGACAGATAGAAGAAGAAGAAGAAGAAGAATAAGCTCTCAAGCTCTTCCAAGAAAATTCGCAGATTTCTTTTCAAAAATTCTTTCTTAACATTACTTAAAACATTCCAAAACATCTCATATTTATAGACATGAGAGGGGAATACAAACAGCCACTTCAATGATTTCCCACAGGAACCCAAGCATCACAAATCACGGAAAAGCCCCCCCAACCTCACCGGAAACAGTCCAGCCAGGGACCCAAAGAGGCAACGACGGAAACCCAAGAGGCCAGCACGGAACCGAGGCACCAAAGCACGGGAAAGGCCACCCAGCAGGAAAACCAGCAGCCAACCGTAGAAACCAAGGAGCCAAGGCACGGAAATAACCAACTGTGGAATCCAAGGAGCCAAGGCACGAAAAACAATAAGCACAAGGAATCCAAAAGCCATTTTGGAAATCCAAGGGACAAACTACGAATTTTAAGAGACAAAACTATAAATAAAGAACTACATAAATAAATGAACTAAAACCTAGCTAATAATGAGCTAACCTTTAGTTCAATAAATGAACTAAAAACCGGCTCATAATGAGGTAAATTTCAGCTCAAAATTTATTGAGCTAGCAAGCTCAAGGGAAGTCAAAACCAAAATTTTTTTTGGGTTTGATTTGACCCCCCCTTTGCCTACATCAAATACCCTTAATAGTACAATTTTAGAGATGGAATTAATTATGCTACTTCCATTAATAAATCCATCTTTTTTTGAAAGTAGCAAATGTGTACTGAATATGAGTATTGTTCAATCTTATCTTGGAGTTCAGTTTTGATGTAACCCTTCCCAAATTTTTGGTCACAAAAACAATCTCTTTCTAAGATCTAGAAACTTACAAAAACTAGACAAATTAAACTAAACAAACTTTAATATTATAAAATAAAAGACTTACAAACTTGACCCTTACAAACTTGACTCAACCAAGACACCCTAAACTTGCTTTACTTATAGAAAAGGGATGCAGGTGGGGTGTAAACTTGCAGAGAGATGAAAGAGGTTAGAAGCCAAGAAGAAGGGAGGAAAGAGCTCGCAAGATTTCCTGGGGAGATGAGAAGAAGAAGTGGACAAAGCTCGCAAGCTTTTCCATTGAAACCCGCAGGTTTACATTTCAAAAAATCACATCATATAACATATCTAAAACAACCACAAACAACTCCTATTTATAGGCACAAAAGAAGGAATACAAACAGCCACCTAAAAGCAATATTTAAAGCCATTAAAATAGGGAAATAGAAGGCCATAAGTCACTAAGAAGACCAAAAGACTGCAGGAATTTTGTTGGAAGATTGCATAGAAAACAGTGGAAAGGCTCATGGAAATCCTCCCAAACAGCCACCAAACCAGTCCCAAAAAAGCTGTCCAAATTCTGTCCAAAAACAGCCCAAAAAACTCTTCAAATACTTCATTAAAATGAGGGAAATGAAAGGCCAACAACCACCATACAGCAGTCCTTAATTTGCACAGGAAACAGAGCACCAAAAGCCACAGGAAAAGCCCCCCCATTAGTCACGGAAAACAGCCCAGCCTGGGAACCGAAGAGCCACCCGCAGATTCCAAGGAGCCAACCATGGAAACCAAGGAGTCAAGGCACGAAAATCCAAGAGCCAACCACGGGAAATGAATAGAAAAAAAGGGGGGAAGGAGAATAGACAAGATCAAAGAAATAATGAGCTAATTTTTAGCTCCATAAATGAACTAAAAAACTAGCTCATAATGAGCTAACCTTCCGCTTGACATTAATGAGCTGGATAAGTCAAAAATTAAATTTTTTTGGGTTTGATTTGACCCCCTTGTCTTCATCAAGTTTGAAGCCTGAATATTTATATAAAGCTCATAAATTTTTTGCCCCTTCTTCCTCTCTTCTATATCTTGGTTGCAGAGGTTGAAGTGTGGCTCTGCGTTTGCTTACTGCTGCTGGCTATTATTAATAGGCAACCAGCAGAATCCTAATTTCCATAGCGATGCTCCACTGCAACTTCTTACCATCCTTAATTTTGGATTGAGATGTCTGCAACAAAGTTCAGCCACTGTATGCTTCCTCTCCTTCCTCAATTAGGCACTATCTAAGCTTCTCCATGTTGACAATTGCCCCGCTGTTCTCAAGCAAGAGACTGTACATGTCATGTCTCTTAGTGGTCCTTCGATAATAATGTTAGGACACAACATGTAGGTTTGAATTAACGAGATGAGAACAAACAATCATAAGGATATTTAAAATTTCATCTACTGGCATATGCTAATATCAAAATATTTGGTTGTACAACTTTAATATATATATTAAAAGGTCCACTTATTTATAAAAAAATTTAAGTCAAAATTATAACAATTGTAAGATAAATACATTTCCTTGTAGTATTACATTTGCGATAAATGAATTCTCTTTATCCACTCATTAAGTTCTTAAGACCTATCCTAAAGACATTAGTGACGACAATGATGAGTTATAACTAAATATGTAATCATATTTCTAAATTACAGTAACACAAAAAAAATACAAAATCAATATTTATGCTAGTTAAAATAACTCATCATAATTATTTGGCGATTCAATTATGATCATGCAAGAGTTTTAAAATCTTTTTTGTAAATAATCATATCATACAAAATTACTCATTTTTTATATAATACAACTATTTCAAGAGTCACCCATCTAAATTGTACCATTTAAGGTACTTTCTTCCATTCACTTTTTCAAAAACCTTTACCATTTTATGAATGCGAGTGTATAAATCACAACTGTTAATTCCAAATTATGGGTAGGATAATTTCTTTCATGAATCTTTAACTGTCTTGCATATGCCACTATTTTACCATGTTGCATCAATACACATCACAATCCTTTGACGAAGCATCACTGACAATTTGAAATCCTTCTATGCCTATGGGAATGGTTAGATTGTAGTAGGAATTAAACAACCCGCATGTGCTCCAATCGTCACATCTAAGTCCCACATCCAACGATTCGAGAATGCTGCGCGGGTCAAATATTCAAGTTTCATCCTCCTGCTCGAAAGGGTTGGAGTCTATATGACTTGAAGTATAAAATGTCTCCCAAATTCCTACAAAAATCAAAGTGACCTCAAATCCCACCCTGATGATGGCCGTGTTGATCGGAAATCTCTACCGGAGTGGTCAAATCTCAAATCCAAGAAAAGTCTAAATCTCTGAAATGAAATCTTTTTCTTAAAAACTTGAAACT